TCAATTCCCTTAAAAAAACCCTTGTTAGCTGCCCTGTTAGGTATTGGCACTAGTTACCGGTAATCAGGATTTTACGCCTAGAGCAGTCCTACCTCTAAATTAGGCTTAGCTGGGGAAATAAGCAAAAATGCCTTCAATCTCCTACTGCTCAGAACAAAAGCCCTCTGGTACACACATATACACACAGTGTCTTCTTCAAAATACAGAATACAAGTACCAGACAGATAGACCTATCCAGTCACCGCCTCTGAATGAAGGGTTGATCCTTACTCACCTAAACACTCCCTCTCAAACTTCCCTGATACTGATTGCATTTCAGTTAACTTCTACAAGGCACAAGAAAAAAGAACTTAGGGTCAGAATATAAAAGGTATAAAAGATGGATTGCAGGCATTATTCAAATATTCATGGCAAATACTGAGAAATAACCTGTAATCTGGAACCTCTGGAATTCTGTATATACTTAGGGTAGGCTCACTTTCCTAATCTAAAGTCACATCTACACTAGGAAGTATGGATGTGACTAGAAGATATCATCTAACTGCCAGCTTTACAATTTCACTAAATGTATATACACTTTGTTTCCTTTGTATCATTTTAACAAATGGTTGGAAGGAAAGCATGGGTGCAGTAGCTAAGCATCCCAGTTTTCCCCAAACCACTGATTGGCCTGTTGCCTTGTGGTTCACTTTTTCAGTTTGTTGTGGTAATCCAACCCACCTCTGTAAGGGGCTTGGGTTCAACCTCCCACAATCAATGTTCCCTCCAAGGTGTAGCAATCCATGAGCGCGCCGCTTCAGTCCATTACCAAATTGGTCCCACCTCCCCCTTTCGGCATGCGCCAGGGGGATGCCTGCATTCAGGAGCATAAGACTAGAAGGGACCTCCTGGGAAATCCCAGGCAGGGCCCCTAAACATGCTGGCAGACAACAGTGCAAAGGGGTTGACAACATCCACTCCAGCCCCTTTCACACACTGTAGATCCAGGGCAGCCCCTGCCCCAAAACCCCACTGTGGGCCACAAGATGGGAGCAGGACACACAATAGGAGCACTGAGACCTTTGCCATTGTCGCAGAGCACAGAGGTGCTCTGCTCCTAAAGAGGGGAGACTGCTGGGGAAAGAGCCCTAGCAGTAAGTGACGAGCCCAGCTGCCGGTTGCCAGGGCAACTGGAGCTAGCAAGCAATCACACCTGCCAGCGATCAACTGACTGTAAGGGGCAGGGCCTGGCTCCCTTATAAACCCTAGAGGCTGAGGCCAGAGGCAGTTCCCTGCCAGCAGAGGTCGCTCTCTGTCATGGGAGAGAGGAGAAGCCTGATGCGGGAGCAGCATCTGACACGGCTGCGAGATGAAGAATCCCCGGTAGGCTTGAATGTTGTTATGGCCAAGCAGCTTCCATTTAAGTTACAGCTGAAGGGCTTGTGTTTGTGTTGTGGTTTGTCACCAGTGGTTTGGGTGAGGCTACTAGGGGTTGGAGGAGGCCTCATAGGGGACCCACAGCTGTGTGGGAACCCCAGTGCCAGCCAGGGTGCAGTATTTGGGGTGCACTGACCCCAGCCCCAGAGAGGGGGCATTGCTGAGAAACCCCAGAGAGGGGGCATTGCTGAGAAACCCCAGCGCGGGCGTGGTGAGCCCCAGAGAAGGGGGCAGCTTTACTGAGAAGGCCCGGAGAGAGACAGGGCTGCAGAGAGCCGGAGCGCCAGAGAGAGGGTATACACCTGGACCAAACAACATCTATTCCAGCTGCGAGGCTTGGGGTGTGGTAAAGAGGTGGTTGGAGCCACGTATAGCCCATAAGGCTAGGGTGCCCCTGAAGCACCCATTGTAGAGCAGGACCCACGAGGGGTCCGGGAAACCACGGGGTCCGAGTAACCAGCGAGAAGTGACCAAGAGGGCGTAAAAGGCAACCTCCCAAATATATGGTGTCATCAAAGACATGGCGGGCGAGAATTTGAGGGGGCCCTTGGGCCAACTTGGCATGGGAAGGGGGCCTTGAGGAGATCACGGCCCTCCTGCGGGACCCCACCGTGACAGCCATGCCAGTGGCAGGGCAAGATGTGTTCAAAAAGACCTAGACAGATGACCATACCCCATGCTAGAGGCAGGCAAAACCCCCACAGTCCTTTCACCTGGGAGGTCTCTCAATACCTCTGGAGGTACCAGCATCCCCTCTCCTAGTCCATCTCCCACCTCTGGCTGTGACCAATGTCCAGGGCTTAAAGCTGAGAGGGGCAAGCTTTTCCTTGCTCCTTCAGGTGATCAGCAGAAACCCTGAAGCCTGGGGCTACAACTTCCCAATCTCTCGTCACAAGGCAGGTTCTCCATTCCTCCAACTGCCCTGGGCCAGAGAGGCACGTGGCATTGGGGCTCAGAGCGAAGTTTACCCGAAGGGACTAGTGAACGGAGCAGTCCCCTGGAGCCAGCAGAACCCGGCTCTGCCCTAGCCCCCATTTCTGCCCCTACTTTGCCTTGGGGAGGAGCCTCTGCCTGCCCAGCGCTACTCTCCCTCCCAGTGGTGATGCCAGCATGGTAAGGAGAGGAGCGGAGCTGAGTGGCCCCTGTGCAGCCGAGAGGTAACCTACCACTGGTAAGTGTCCCGCACTGGCCCTGGTACCACTGTAGCAGAAAGCCCCTTTTCCTCTTGCCTGCAGTTGCTCTCCCCTCCTTGGATATGTTTTTCCTCTTCTACCTTTCCTTCCTTCCTTCCTCTTTCTTTCACTTTAAGATATTGTGTTTTGAAATTTGTATGTGTGCATTTTGTATCTCCCCTTGTATTTTGGTATTTTTATCTATTTGTGTGCCATGGCATTACTTTTGTAGCTTATATTTTCTATTCCTCACCTGTCAAGTTTCAACTAAATGTGTTTAGTTTCATAAGTAAGTTATACATTGTAACAATGTTAACAAGGGCAGGAATCAAACTGTCCTTCCCTGTATCAGGCTGGCCCCTGAAAGAGTGAGTGAATCCGTGATTGAATGTGTAACACGGTAGCAGGCAGCAATTAACACTTAAGGAAACTGCAGATGAACCAACGGAAGAACTCAATAGAAGACAATGTAACAACTGGGAAATCTCAAAATGTCACTGATCAAGGGCTAGAAGCCCTGGCCTGCATTAATCAATGCCGGGGACCAACTTTTGGGCTGAATATCTCCAGATCGACCGCTCCCAGAGCCCTATTCAAAATTCATCAACAGACTCCCAAACTTGCACGTACATGTGGACAACCCCTCGGGCTGACAGATGCCATCCAGTAGCCACCGAAGGGGGAAGTCCCATGAGGGTCAACGACGCCTGGATTGGGCAAACCTGAAAACCTGGGGAGTCACCAAAAGTCTGCCAAGGACAGATAAAAAGCAGTGAAAAGTGACCCTCAGGGGCGCCCTCTTGATCTCCAACTTGACCAGCACCCAACCTATCCAACCAGAAGGACCAGCCGGCGACCCCTTCTGGAAGATAACACCACGCTGAAAGAAGCCTCGACGACAGACTCCAGTGCTTGTAGGATAGGTATACCTGACTCTTGTAGCTTTTGTGTGTGTGTGTGTGTGTGTGTGTGTGTGTGGGAACCAGCCCCAAGGTTTATGATTTAACTTCATTACAGTGTTTCAATCCACCTAATAAACCAGAATTTTAAGGATCCTGAGTTGGACATTTGTAGCCAACACCTCTGCCACACTCCACACCCAAAGTTTATAGGAAGCCACAGCCCAGCTCTCTGGGCAGGTGTGTGGCAATAAAAATTACTGCGCGGCAAGATTTTTTTTTTTTTTTATTGTGCACAGCTGCGCACACGCGCAGCTTGGGAACCTTGCCCACAATTCCCTTTGTTCTATCCTCAAATGTTCTCACTTCACTCTTTCATTACCAGTATTTCCCTTGACTCATTCCACAAATGCTTTTATTTATTTATTTTCAAGCTTTCCACCAGTTTGCTGCCAAACAGATTAGTAAAGATCCTGAATCTGTTTTAAATTCTTCTGTATTTGGGGGAAGTTCAACATCTGCTACATGGCTGCTGTTCATAAAGGAGTGACAATTAGAAAACTGGGAGTGGATGGTGCAGACAGTCAATGCAAATTGCTAGGTGTTACAGACGTTCACTAACCATTTGCACATGCTGCAGTAGTGCTTCTGAGTACAAGACACAAGCACTAAGTGGCATGATCAAAATGTGCTGTAAAACTAGGGCAATCAGCATTATGGCTGAAGAAATACCAGATAGAGAAGGGCACATTTTTGGAGCTGTGTGCTCCAGCCCTACAGCATAAGAGAAGTAAAATTAGAGTACTTAATGGATACCAAAATTTAATGGATTTGGACTTTGTAAAGACTAACCAGTTCAACAGAAGGAAATTTTTGTGGCAACTGAGAACACACATTTCCCTACTATAGTCTGGCCCCATTTCATTGGACACTACCCATCCTGAGGTCACCTACCAGACTCAGAGTAAGATGATAACATCTTGCCTTATTAACTCGACAAGTACATCGGGAAATGTGTTCTCTCATGGCTTGCCCTACCCTAGCCCACAGATTCAGGAAGTAGTCCAGTTTGATCTGAATGACAGCCAACAAAACTGCCCACTAAAGATGGACACAATTACAAGGGATGCCCATCATTCCTCAGCAGTGGACCTTGACAAACCAGGGACTGCTGGGTTTGCCATACTGCACCCATCAACAACCTAACCACATGTCCTAGACTCACTGAATTTGACAGTGTCAAACCTACAGCAACACTCCTAGCTAAGTATCAGGATTTGAGTTTAAAGGACACTTCAGAAAGTCTGAAATAATCGAAAAAAGATGTATAACCTTATCTGTGTCTTATGATGAAAAAGTCAGATGGAATTTTGTTTCCTGTACTACATAGATAACTTAAGTTAATATAATCATTAATTTTAGGCCATCTCATTCTAATCTTGGAAGCTGTATCATCAGGTTTCAAATATCTGTATTTTATTGAATCTATATATTCATAAATGGGATTACTTACTTCAATCTCTTTAAGAGGAAACTGCTGCAACTTTTTGACAGTTTTACCTAAAAAAAAAAAAAAAAAAATGAACATGTAAGAATGTGCAATCAAAACATGCTCTCTGTTATTTTTAAATTTAGTTTTTGTTTGGGTACTCGTAAGACAATATAAAAATAACTTATTATCAAAACAATTACTTGTTTCTGAGAATCTCAAATGTTTATGTTCTTAAGGTTACTTATGGAAAATATGAAACAATACAGTGTGTGTGTGTGTGTGTGTGTGTGTGTGGGAAATAACATAAACCTTTCCTCTGAATGTGTCACATCCAAGTTAAATACATTACTCAGATTTGTAATATGTACATGATAAATACTTGCTTCTGTTCCTTGAAGATTTCTGCCACATTACATATGGACTCTGGCTTTTTTTGGATCACCAACAACTATAAATAAATAAATAAAAAAAAAAAAAAAAAAAAAAAAAAAATAAAGGATTTTTTACCTGATGGGTCACTTAGGATGATCACTGGTTCACTTTCAGAAGTCACTGAAACCTGAGGACTGATACGTGCTCTCTCTGAAATACCAGAGGCAAAATCCTGAAAGAAAAATCATGGTTTTCAATACTAAGTTAAAAAATGTCCAAAGTTTTGGATTAGGATAACATTAAATTTCTAGCAGAACGTTTTACTTCCAAATGCTATTCTCTGAAGATATGGCACCCACACTATTTTGGATCCATCCTACTATACAAAACGAGGGAGGAAATGCTCGAAGCACCAAGCCCCTTGGTAGAGGGAATCTTGTATTTGACCCCAAAGCAAGTTAAGAATGGCTATGGCTTTGGCCTCCAACTGCAATTTACTTTCAGAGGGACATTAGACTACTTTCACATGTGTAAAAAGTTATTTAAAAATGAATACCATAACACCTACATTACAAATGCCTTAGTACTGCAGAAGAGCCATCTACCACTATTGCAATGTGTATGTCAGAGAACATTTATGACTGGACATGCATTTAAAATATATAAATATTTTTCTCTTACCATGTAAACCATCTGCGAGAAACAAAAAAGGTGAAGCTACTGAATTAAATTTCTTATTGTGCTGACATAACTGAAAAAAATCGGTACTTTGTTAGGCAATACCTGAGAATGTATTACTGGATAATCTTCTAAATGTATAAGGTCAGCTTTAGTTGGTTCCAGAACACTTAGTTTTTCTGTGTTAGGTTTTCTTCCCAATTCTATTTCCCAATCTGGAACTACAGCAATAACATATTCTGAGTCCATGGGTTTGAAACAAACTGAAGATGTCCTTTCCCAATTTTCTTCTGGGTTCCTAATTAATGATTTTTGAGAAACAGTTGATGTGGATGTTATAACCACTGCAGGAAGAGGATGAAGTTTTTGGTCAGATTCTGCATATTCTGAGGAATCGCCATGATGCATTTTTTCTGTAGTTTTCAGTACTTGCTCCGAAATTCTGAGGGACAGATTTGAATAATCTTTCAATTTAGTCTGTAAGTAGAAAAAATAATCATTTCATCTCGGTTAGTTACTAATACTATTTAAAGGTGAAAGGCCAAATGCAGCCAGTGATAAGGCAATTTCCACAGAAATTTGGTGCTAATTTCAATAATGAGATAAATGTTAAGGTAAGCACTGGGTGCAAACTGGTATAATGCAAGTGGTAAAGAAATTTAATTGTACCAATCTGGCAATTGGTAGCTGTGAAAAAGAATCACAATTTTCAATTTTAAAGGCCACATTCACTTTTATGAATTTCCACCAGTGCAACAGAAGAAAACTCCATCAATTTTGTGGAGAAAGGGGAGACAGAACAGTAAAAGCACTGGGCAAGCATATGCTAGCTAAATAACTTCCCCTTTTTTTTTTTTTAAACATTCACATAGTGCCACATAGACTAAATTCAGCCCTAATTGAGCAGGTGCACAACTCCAAGCACCTTTAAAAGGAGCTGTAGCTCTTGAGATTTTTACACACACAAAATATTAAACAGTGGGTGCATCTACATGGGACATTTACTATGCAGTTGACTAACTAGCTGTGCTGTAAACATCTCGGTGTCTTCAAGTGTTCCCCTATTAGACTAGAGTAAACTAATTTACTCTGCAGCAGGATAGTGCTTGGAAAATACATATACTATCCTGCTACAGAGGAAAAAAGCCTGTAGATGCTGCCCTGGCTGGCTGGGGCATGGAGGTGCTTCAGTGTGGGGGCTGCCTGCTGGCTAGCCCTGCACTAGAGCACCCTCATACCCTAGCCAACCCCTCTGGCAGCACGTTGAGCTGGGGGGAGAAGCGCCCCGGGCTGGCAAGCTGACCCCCCAGGCTCCCTGGCAGCTAGGGCTGCTCCAACCCAGCCCAAAGTTCTGCACATGAATAAACTCTGGAGCTTATTGCTCCAGACTTTATTACTTCTGGGCGCACATTCAAACAGCATACCTGGGAGCAACGAAGTCCAGAGAATAAGCTCCAGAGTTTATTCACATGCTGTAATGGCACATGTAGATGAGTGCAATGTAAAGTACATTCATTATGCAAACCAGCAAAATACTAAATTTGTCCATTACTTTGCTACACCTTTCAGTTTAATAATCTGCATACCATTTCTGTAATAGATAAACCTGGCCTAAAGCCTGCTTTTTTGCATAATGTATCTGATTTTTTTATGATAAAAATTTGAAAGAGAAGATGACCAAAAACTTCCACTTTGACAGTATCTTAATTATTTGACTTCTAAATATCCAACATTATTCCAATTAAAACAGAAGGCACAGAAAGGAGATTAAGAATATATAAAGTTAAAATGTGGCAGAATTACAATATTTCTATTACAGCTTGGCCTGTTCTGAATGAAGTTAATTGCTAAATTCCCAATGACTTAATTAGGGGCAAGATTGATGTCATCCTTTTTAGAGGTCCAGTCAAAACTGGCATTTTTTCTGATTATATTGATTTTTATTCATTTGAAGCATTGCTGGCTTAATTTTCTTACTTTGAAGAAACAGTATTATCCTGTTTGCAGGGGGGGGAAAACACTGAAAAATGAATGACAAATACAAGGCATCAAACTTGCATACAAAGCAAATGGTTTACAAAAAGATCCCGTGGGGCTGGCGACTAGGGGTCAGCAGCCATGCACAGGCACCTCTGGCAGCAGCCGGTGGCGAACATGGACTGCCTACAGATGCTGCCGGTGGTGTTGGCGGCAGGGTGGCGAGCGCCTTTTTCTAGGGGGCACACTGCCACACTACGTGCACCCCCTACACGTCGCCTCTGCTTCCAGTCTTACTATTCCTTAACTATGATCATCTATTAACAGTCAGAAAGCAAGTAACAAAGCAGGAGACACATATACACAAGATACATTTTTAAAAAGGTATTGGCAATGTTGGCTACAAATGTCCAACTCGGGATCCTTAAAATTCTAGTTTATTAGGTGGATTGAAACACTGTAATCATAAACCTTGGGGCTGGTTCCCACACACACACACACATGCACACACACAGTAGCAGGCTACAGAGTCAGGTATACCTATCCTACAAGCGCTGGAGTCTGTCGTTGAGGCTTCTTTCAGCGTGGTGTTATCTTCCAGAAGGGGGTCGCCGGCTGGTCCTTCTGGCTGGACAAGTCTGGTCTAGTTGGAGATCAAGAGGGCGCCACTGAGGGTCACTTTTCACTGCCTTTTATCTGTCCTTGGCAGACCTTGGTGACTCCCCAGTTTTCAGGTTTGCCTAATCCAGGGGTCATTGACCCTCGTGGGACCTTCCCCCCCTCGGTGGCTACTGGACGGCATCTGTCAGCCCCAGGGGTCGTCCGCATGTACGTGCAGGTTTGGGAGTCCGTTGATGAATTTAGAATAGGGCTCTGGTAGTGGTCGATCTGGAGCTATTCAGCCCAGAAGTTGGTCCCTGGTGTTGATTAACTCAGGCCTGGGCTTCTAGCCCTTGATCAGTGACGTCTAGAGATTTCCCGGTTGTTACATTGTCTTCTATTGAGTTCTTCCGTTGGCTGATCTGCAGCTTCCCAGGTGTTAATTGCTGCCTGCTTCCATGTTACACATTCAATCACGTTACACATTCAATCACTGATTCACTCCCTCTTTCAGGGGCCAGCCTGATACAGAGGAGGACAGTTTGATTCCTGCCCTTGTTAACATTGTTACAATGTATAACTTACTAAAACACATTTAGTTGAAAGATGAAAGGTGAGGAGTATAAAATATAAGCTACAAATGCCATGGCACACAAATAGATAAAAATACCAAACTACAAGGGGAGATACAAAATGCACACATACAAATTTTAAAACACAATTCCTTATCTTAATGTGAAAGAGAGAGGAAGGAAGAAAAGGTAGAAAAAGAGAAACATATCCAAAGAGGGGAGAGCAAATGCAGGCAAGAGGAAAAGGGGGCTTTCTGCTACAGCAATATATTACACTGTTTATTGTATACCTGTCCTATTCCTTTAAGCTACTGTTTGGGAGTGAAATGGCAAAGGTCTTTTTTCACCCTGCCTAGTAGGTGTCAGACAAGCATTTCCAACCTTTCCATAATATATACAAACAAATTACTTCCAGTACCCTGCAGTAAAAAATGGTAGTCAGAGTAAACTGCTGATGGAGAAAAAAAACTGCCCAAAGACATGGGAACAGAATTCTACTCTTGCAAAATGTGGTATGAGATCTCTAAAATCCACTCAAGATGCACAGTTTCTCTCTCTTCTGTCAAATCTTCCAAACAACTAACCCCAAGCAAAAGAAAGAAGTACACCTGCTTCAGTCAAAGGGAGTTTTGCTATTGACTTCAATGGGGCTGTGATTTTGATAACTGAGTAAAATGACAGACTTAATCCACCTATCCTAGCTACTGCAAGGACAGAGCTAAACTGACACCTACCAGAATCTGCAGAAAAGGTTATGGGTTGTATGGGTATTTCAAAGCCTTAAATATAAACACTGACAATTAATTCAATTAAAAGACGATGAAATTTTAAGAATTAAATACCTTACCTCTGTTTTAAACAGATCCTCTCCCTGTAACTCTGAATCAACTTCAGATAAGAAAAACATAATCAGAGATTGTTTATCTTGTCAATGTTTGTAATATAATGCAAAGGACTACATAACCAAGTAAAATGTGTGCATTTTAATTATCATCAACAAATTAAAGGAACATAATCTAATTGCATGAAATCAGTAAAAAGACTAATTTGCTTTGGAAATTTTAGAACCTAACTAGACCACATGATGACACAATCCCAGACTTCATGGAATTTCACCCAAAATCATCTACAGGCCTGTTAACAATACA